TGAACTAAATCAAAGAAGCAAAATTCAAGTCAATGTCTATTGAGAGTTCTAAATTTTAATTTTATTTTGAAATTTGAAGGTAAAAAAAAGTATTTTCTTACCTTTTCAGTATCTGTTTTAAAATGGAAAAATTTTGCTTCTCTTTCAAGGTAGAATAATATTAGAATTTGAAATGTGTTTTAATACATACGATATGTTCAGAATATTAAGTTACAATAAAATAGGCTAAATTCATACCCTAGAAAAAGCAATCGTAAAAATAGTGCATTTATTCCAAAAGAAAGAATAATATAAATGAAATTACCATCTGCAATACTTTAAATCCCTCTGTAAATTTTAAACTCCCACATTTAGTTAGCTATTAAATAGATATTTAGAATTACATTTGAATCATAATTGTCTTCATCAAATATCTAGTAACCACACTCTCGTTTCAACAACAGAATGAAAATTTTCCAATCAAAAAAATACTTACTTCCCCATGTCAAAATAGTTTACATTAAAGTGGAGTTGTGTGATTGTTTTCTTTTTGTTTTCCCCACTAGATAGAAAACCTCTGAGCTCAAAGTATTAAAATAGACCATGTTTTATATGGGGCAATTCAGACATCATGCAGAAGTAGGCTGTAAAATAAAGATGACTAAAATTCTGAGGTGGTTACTGAATGTAAATGAGTTCTTATTTTGTGTAAGTAATAAGATAAATTCTTTCAAGTGTACCAGACTAATAGGTAAGTACTTAGTAAAATACTTCAGTAAATGCATAGTTATGCACCTGGCTGTGGCAGATATTTTCTTAGTATTTGTCTGCCCTCAAATTAAAAAGGTCTTGCTTTTTGCAGTCGCAGTTACAGTGGATACTTCTGTTATAGCTTTTCTTTTATGTAAGTTAAATGGTTCTTCACAGGATGCTAAAAAAGACAACATAACACATTGTCAGATGCTGCAGAGCATATAAGTATCTTTAAGAAAATTTGGTATAAAATACAAGGTTACTGACTGCAGTTCAGTAACAAGAATGAATTCAGAGAGCCTGAGAGTGAAGTAAAACTTGCCAAAAATGAAGTTATTCTCAGGTCTTTCTCAAATCCAGAGGTGTTGGGGAAAATAAAAGGAGCTATCCACAATAGTAGATATATCAATATTTCATCTCCGAGTTCTTTTTTCTCAGTTTTATCTGATAATTTTAGGATAAATACAAGACCATCATGAAGAAATTTCTTAATTGCAAAAGGTTGTGAAGAACTGTCAATACAGAGAAGGCTATGGGTATGAGGTTATGGGCAAGAGCAAGAAAAGCATAACCGAGTTTAATAGGATTAGGTAATAAAAGTACTTATAAGACATATTGTTTAGTTTTAGTTATTCCTTTGAGTAACAAGGGGTAGGACTTGATCCTTATTGGTCCTATTCACATTAACAGGTTCTATGATTCTACAGTAATTCTGGTCTCATAAATTTGGAAATGTCATTGGGGAAAAATACAATGGGTTTATTAGTCAATTAAATATCATTCATCATTATAAGGTGGTAAAATCTTAATTGGAAAGTAATTAGGTTTCTCATCATACATGGTCAAGAAAGAAATTCAAATTGGAAAATGTGCTTTCCAAAACTATTGAAATCGTCACACTTGAACAAAAAAAAATTAATATTTAAAAATCCTAGCAAAACTGGTGTTCTTTAAAGGTGAATAAACTTATACAGGAAGTTAGAAGACAATGTGATTTTTGGGAGAACCTTCTATGTGGGAAAAAAACACATCTCTCATAATTTTAAGATGGAAATATGTATGAGTATTTGTGACCTGTGTGTTCTTCTCAGCTTCATTCCAGTAGATTTACCCTTCCATGTGTTGTATTTAATTTTTGACATAGCAGTCAAACTTCTGTAGAAATTCTTTACTTAATACCAGAAATAATATGGGATGTACCTGTAATGATGTCTAGATCCTTTTCTTTAATTTTCTTGTTTGTTTTTCCTACCAAAGATGTATAAGTATTGAAGGCATAAATGAAAAGTACTTGGTTAACAGGGTCACAGTGCTGCCTAAAATATATGAGGCAAAATTAGGGCTGTGTTTCAATTTACAATACCCGTGACAGCTTTCTTTTTCAGGTTTTTTTTTGTTGTTGGTTTTTTTTTTTTTGGGTTTTTTTGGGTTTTTTTTGTAAATGTGTTAGGGAAATATCTTTCTTAAGATTAACTTCTTGTCTTCTTGTGGGATGTATACCAACCTCTGCCAAGGATACAGAAGATACTCAGGAGCAATTCCTGATTTAAAAGAAACTGCTGGATCATTTAATTTTATCTTAGTAATAAGGCAACTAAGTTCTCCTTACACATTTCGGGATCAATAGTGAAATTTGAGATTATGAATGATTTTAGTGCTGCACTGCCAAGAGCTGCTGGACAGAGCATTAGAGTCCTCACAGTAGTGACGTACCTCATACTGATGATATGATTTCAGGATGTATAAATGGATATGAAACACAGGAAAAAGGGAGAAGTAAATCTTCTCTCACTCCCTGCCTTCAGCCCATCAAAACTTTAACATTAGTTTTCTTATTATAAACTACAAGGTTTTGAAATTAAGAGCCTGCCCAATTTCATTGTCTCAGTTTTCAGAAAAGAGGAATCTGCTGCAAGTGAGAGAGATGAAACGATTAGTCATGATTAGTCATCCACAAATCCTTATTAACTACCTACAAGCCTTAATTAAGTGTCATATCCCTTGAAGCAAACAGAGAAAAGTCACCATAAATCAGGGAAATTTCTGTTTGTTTAAATTAATTTTAAAATGTAAGTGGCTAATACTGGGGAGGATAGTGTAGAAGGCATGTTCTACTATGTTACATTTGAACTGTTACAAGCAGAAATGGAAGGTTCTTTTAAAAAATGCCATATTTCTTACACGAATATGCATAAGCATGATACCTTTGGTTTCAATGTAAAAGAACTAAAACAATTAATTTGCAAAGTCAAAGCAGGACATTCCCAGTTCTAGGACATTCCCATATTCCTATTTATCAGTAAAATATATTTTTGGAACAGTAGTACCAGATTTTGTGAACCATATTTATTTTTATGAAAATGCTTATTTAAATTATAGAAGTTCCTTTTATCTAAATGACTCTGTAAATTTCCTTTTCTAAATTTATAGTGTGTATAAGTTGTCGTTATTTTCAATATATCACATTGCAATTTCTGAAAAAAATATCTGTTTCAAAAGGTATAATTTTGAGGAAAAAGAGCCTGATGAACTAAAACAGACTGGTATACTATTTTTAGCCAGTTTTTCCCAATCTACACTTCTGATGGAACATAATTTACAGCTCAAAACTGTGTTGAAATAATTCTAAAACTTTGTGGATGCTTAAAAAGTATTCTTTGTGCATTGATCTCCTTGGTTTTGTGTGATTTGCTTTCAGAACAGAATGGAAACAATGGTATAAGCTACATGTAATTTTCCATTTTTTATCTAGTAATGGTTAAGTAGTTTTATTGAAGAAATGCAAAGAAAGTAATTTTAAAATACAAGAAAGATAATGCTCTGGAAAATACTTTTCTACATGATCTGAAACTGTGGGAGTCAGAAAAAAGCTTGAGAATTGTGCTGTACATAAATTTCTCCTGAAAAGTATGGCTCTTCTTCTTAAGATTCTTTGCATTACTAATCATTATATGATTAAAATTTACCCAGAAGCAACATCTGATGGTGTTACACTATTTACTTGTTTGTAGCAAGACCTCACTTTCAGAGTCCAATAGAAGTTATGCTAAAATTTAACTGTTTAAAAATGTAAGGTGAATAAATTGGGCATGTTACATATTTATTTATTTATATGAAACTCACTCCAGATTTCATGAGCAGAGGGGAAGGATTCCCTCTCTCAACTGGCTGGCAATGCATTTCATGATGCAGCCTGGGAAGATGCTGGCCTTGTTTGCCGCAAGGACACATCGCTGGCTTATGCTCAACTTGAGGACCACACCAGATTCTTTTCTGAAAAGCTCCTTCCCAGCTAAATGGTCCACAGCACATACTGATTCCCTACCACTGCACTTCACATTTCTCTTTACTGAATTCCATGATTTTTCTGTCAGTCTGTGATCAAAGAAATTATCAGGATTTAATTTACAAGTATCATCATAGGGGGAAAATGTCTCCTAATTGAAGCTGTGTCCAAAGAGATGTCTCTCCCTACTTTTATTTTAATCTTTACTTCTACATGTATAGGCAAATAAATTCAAAAAAAGATTCTGATGATGATGGATAAAAATAATACAATTTTAGGTTCATTCAATTTTGGTTTTCTCTTATTAGCATAGTAATAACAATAAAAATCTTATCTATTACTTTACAATTATTAACTAAGTAAAACATAAATCAAAATCTATATGACTGACATGTATCAAAAACAAAAATACTTTTTTTTTAGATTTGCCAAATAGGAAAGTCTAGGTTTTGGGTAGTTTTAAGAGATATATTATATATTAATTAAGTAATTACCTTTCGTTAGAAAACACCTTGTGTCTTATTCCTTGGGATAAGAGCACCAATTAATTAGTTTTTATATTAAGTAGCTATTTAAAGCATTATATGAGAAAACACGGTTATTTTCGCAACGTAACTTGGGGTCAGGAAAGTTATAAGTTATAATTATTATTTAATAATATAATAATTGATTCAGTAAATATTGTTTCAATTTTATCATATTATGAAGCAGGTTTATTGTATGGAGGCATCTGGAATTCTGTTTTATATATTTTATATACATATACATATACATATACATATACATATACATATACATATACATGCATACATATATATATATATATATATATATATATATATATATATATATATGACACAAACAACTTAAAACCACTTAACTTCAGCTTTCCTTTAATGAAAGGTTATGCCCAGCCTTTGATCTTGCTTGAACAAGCTAATCCTGATCTTTTGTTTGTTTGTTTGTTTTCTTTCCCTCACAGGAGTCATCAGGACTGCCTTGCACAATATGGACAGGGAAGCCAGAGAGCATTATTCCGTTGTCATTCAAGCCAAAGATATGGCTGGGCAGGTCGGAGGGCTGTCAGGATCAACAACTGTAAATATCACACTCACAGATGTCAACGACAATCCACCCAGGTTTCCTCAGAGTATGTACAATTTCAAAATATAACTGGTTTGAAAATCAGTGAAGTAAGAAGCTATTAGCAAAATCCAGTTATTAGTCAAATTCATGGGGGGAAAGGCTGTTTGGAAAACATTTGAATTCACCAATATTTTTTAATTTTTCGGTATTTCCAGATAAAGCACAGAGATGGCATAGCTAAAATCCTGAAACTATTAAAGATTTCTTTCAGTCTAACCACTGAATAATATTGAGATGGGTTACAAAGGTATACTGTTCTCATATGTAGGTTATTCTCCAGCCGTTGTTAAATGCATATTTCAATAACTGTGTGATTTTGATCTCAGGAGGGAATTATGATGTTCCTATGGTAGATAACAGGAAAAGGCAATTCCTTAAAATATTTAACCCAACATGCCTTTGGCTGCTTCCATATGTATCTATGAATTTTTTTTTTCTTTTGCTTTCTCTATACCAAACTAAACTTTTAAGATCAATTATTGCATTTCAGACAATCAAAATCTAAGATGTTTTTCACTGTTGTTGAGCAATGGTGGAGCCTGACTTTATCATAGTTAAATGAATTGCTGATGTTGATTTCAAATAATATTATCACATGAATATACAAAGAGTAAATACCAGAATAGAATATCTTAATGTGACCGTTAACAGAAAGTTAATTTCTATCCAGCTCATTGGGTAAACCTTGATCTGACACAGTAGCTGGGGTCTTGTAGGAATTCTGAATTCAGTTGACTATTTAAAAATCTTCTGGAACATAAATATGTTTTCTCTGCATATTGGCCCAAGGCCAACAAAAATGTTGTAATCTGGTCTCAGATATTGCGTGAGCTGTTGTAGAACATAATGGTGATATATCCATCAGGAAATGCCTTAGGTTGTTTGAATTAAAAGATTTATAAACAATAGTAGAGATCACAAGGCTCCAAGGAAAAACAAAGCTCTCTGGCAGTACACATTGCATAAAATCTAGCCAAACAGTAAGTAGGCTTATTAAGAGTGTTATAGAAATTAGCATCTTCGCCTTGCCTCACAAAGGCCTGAAAACATAAAGCTTTTGAAACACACACTTAAGTAAAACATTTTTTGTTTTATGTTCCACAAATTCTTCATTGCATCCATCATTCCATTTAGAGCTTCCTAACTATTGGAAAGACAAAAGAAAAGGCTTATCTTTGAACAAGAGCTAAATTAAAAAGAAAGCATGTCCTCAGTTTCCTGCAGACTCAATAGATGCAGGAATGGATCCCTACCTACCAGGTTTAAAGAACTAGCCTCTTTTATTTTGAATGGAAGTGTTTAGATGGTAAACTGATTGGCAGGCAGAAATGTGGATTGGCATATGTATTTATCTGTATTAATATTTTTTCAGAAACCAAAGAAATAGAAAATGTTCATATTATAATTTATACATTTTAAGTGATTCTAATATCATTGAAAATGACAAAACATTTCACATTTAATGAAAACTTATTAGGCAGAATAAAATGGTGTTTTAATTTTTATTCTTTTTAACATAAAATATTATTTCTAGAACAAATCTTGTAGAATGCAAGCATTTTCTCTTTTTCCTTACAGAAGATTCCTATACACAGTGACATTATTTTTTTACTTCTTTTCAAGAACACCCCTTACAAATGAGCAGTAGCTACATGTTAATAATAAAGACTGAAAATGCAGTTGATCTAAAAAAGGCCGTTTTACCATCATAAACTATTTACACGAGGCTTGCCCTAAGAGAAATAACTTCTTTGATTATTTTTCCTGTTTCCTTTGTGTACCATGATTTTCAGTTAAATTTCTCTTCAATTTCCGTATTAGACGGAATGCTAAATGAGATTTACTGAGGCTTGTCACATTCAGAATTAAATTCAAGGAAAGTGCTAACCAAAACTGCCTATATTGAGTGTATAATCCTTGGGACAGGCTGAGCCTCAGCTAAACCACAGACTTAATTTGGTTAGTTTCCTTTTCTCCATTGCCATACTTCTGAGTTTTGAATCTGATTCTAACTGTATGAGTACTTGAGAACATGCTGGAAAGTACATCTGATTGATGCTGTTATTATTTGTTTTATTTCTAAAAATACTTTGTTGTATATATTTAAAAGATGTACCATTCTGACTTTAGTAGATCAGTGTTCATTAGACATTGAAAATGCAGTGAGATATGCAGGATTTTTCCCCTTAAAGAAACAGTTTAAATCCCTACTTAAAACTTAGAAATAAAGGTTGTAAATATATCTGCTTGAAAGGGTTTGTTGTGTTTTTCTTTATATTCATTCTAAATAGAGTTGACTTTCTTTCAAAGAAGGTCCTAACAGAAGAGCAACAGTTTTCCAAAATACAAAAAAAAAAAAAAAAAAAAAAAATTGGAGGAATAAGATAAAACAGGACTGCATAATTTTATCAGTCTGGTTTCTGGTTTAGGAAACATAGCTGAAAAATTCTGATTGCAAAACAGTAGTATGACTCGAAAGTAGGAAAGGGGTTTTGAATTCAGTAGGAGAATAGTCTGAAACCTCCCATATTTTTTTGCTTATCAATTACTTATTGTCCCTCTGGTATAATACTGATTTCTTTTTCCTACCTCATCATAAATTTCCTTTCTTTTGAGTGACAAGTAATAAATGAAAAATCTGTTCAATGTAAGCTGAAAGACAATGTTTGGCATGGGAAGATTTTTGCATCTCTCAGTTCTTGTTGGTTTTATCACTGATGGATCCATGTTGTTGATGACTGAGGGCCCTAATTTCATAGTCATAAATTTATTTCATAATTTGATAGAGTACAAGAAGGGTGTGGACCTGCTAGAGTGGGTCCAGAGGAGGGCCATGAAGGCGAAGAGAAATCTGGAACACCTTACTGATGAAGACAGCCTGAAAGATTTCAGGTTGTTAACCTGGAAAAGGGAAGGCTCTAGGGAGACTTCATTGCAGACTTTCAGTATCTAGAAAGGACCTATAAAAAAGATGGAGAACAACTCTTTACATAGGGAGGTAATGATATAGGTAATGATATCAGAAGGGACATTTTTTAAAGGGAAAGAGAGTAAGTTTAGACTAGGTACCAGAAGGCACCGGAACAGGTTACCCAGAGAGGCTTTGGATGTCTTATACCTGGAAGTGTTCAAGACCAAGTTGGATGGGGCTCTGGGCACCCTGGTGTAGTGAAAGGTGTCCCTGTCCATTGTAGAGGAGTTAAAATCAGATTGTCTTTAAGCTGCATTCCAACTCAAGCCATTCTATGAGTCTATGATTCTACATATGGAAGAGTCCAGCAATGATCCAGTAGCCAGTGAGTATTAGGAAGCAGTCAGATAATAATAATTTCAGTCCAGAAATTATTCTACTTTAAAAGGTTGCTTATTTATTAAGATTTTTTTTTATTTTAATTAGACTAATATCTTATTTCATACTCATAATTTCTCATCAACTATCACATTTTGATGTAATAGTTGCACAACATAATTGTGGTGCTGAAAATTATTTTTCTTCTCACACATTCTTAAAGGTAGATATATGTTGAATTGATTGAGGTTTCAAAGTCAGTGCTCAGGTTTCAAAATGGGTGCCTAGTGAGTGACACTTCCTTTGTGAGTACAGATGGTGTTCAGTATACTGAATTTCAGACTACAGAGAATTATCACAAGGCCCCTGACTTTTTTTCTTTAATGGCTGAAGTGTTACATCAGAAACAGAATGAGGGGCAGATATCAAGTCTCTATTTCTGTCAGTTTTCAGAAACTTCCTCCTGACTGTGACAGCCAGGAGCAAAGGTAACAGGGGAAAGCTACTATTGTGTGCCTATATTACCTGGTGAAGATGTTAATTTTAAGCAGAGAAGTATTTTGGGGCTTGATTTTCTAGGACTATTTAGAATCACCTGCTTAGCAAGGCCGCTGCACAAGGACAACAAGCTATTTTAGGGAGTGGTAAAAGAGACAAGCCTTGCTGAGTGATATTTTAGAATGTCTTTCTTTGTAAGAGACATACTGTATCTGTGATGCGCTAGAATCAATCATTCATCTGTGGGATGCCTTGGACATATGAGAAACACATTACTTGAGATGTGTTCATTAAGTTCAAAAGGGAGTTAAGACATACAAAATAAAAGTATATGTATTTTTGAGTGTATGCTTCCATAGACTGGAAAATGTTATCTAAAGTGTTTTGTTTAATTGTCTTCTTCCTTTTTTTTTTATTTAGTGAGAAGAATAGTATGCTCTGATATTTGAACAATATTTGAAGTTAAATCTACCAAATTATTTCATATATCACTGAAATCTGACATGAATTATTCAATGACATTTGATCATATAGGAAATCTCATGATGTTCTGTTTCCTGAGCAGAAGAAGTATGATTTCCATAATCAGTTTTTACAGTAAAATTTAATTGCAGTATTATATAAATATAATATTTTTCAAGAGTATTGAATAGCTTATTGTAAAACTCTCCTTTAATGAAAATTCATGACAATAAAATTTGGTGACAGAATTGTTTATGGATTTAAAATATTACAGGAAGTTTGATGGGGAAAAATATATTTATGTCTAAGTCAGGTTACATACTTGTAATAAATATGTGGTCTACTTAACTGAGTTTTAGCACCACACAGGTACATCAACTTTACTTGTAACAGTACCATGGAGTGTTATTTCATTTTACTGAGTATTATCCATAAGGAGTTCTGTGTACCAGATCTATTATAAATTACATAGATCATACATATCATAATAATTTCAAAACATTCAAAACAGAAAAAAAATGTGAAGGTTTTTGTTTGTTTGTTTGTTTTTCTATGGGTTTCTGAATAAGACTGTAATGGTTTTGGGAATGAGGGAATGTTGTTTGTTTTTCTCTCAGAGTAGAGAACTGGGAGCAGGAACACTCCATTTTGAGGAGTGCTCTTAGGAAAGCCTTAATTTTCATGTCCTTTATGAAGTTAAACCCCAGTGTTTAACTTCATAAATACTAGCTGTATCAGGGAAAAGCAAGAATAAAAACACCAAAATAAACACAGTCCAAATGGGGTTGAATTCTTTTACAGGTATTGCTATTGCTCTTTGCTTTACCCAAGCTGCCTAATGCAGCCATGGTACCCCTTTAAATGGCATAAAATATGCTGAACAGAGCCTCTGGAGACTGCTTCAAATCACACCTAACATATAGTTCCTCATTAGTGATTATTATGGCGTGCATATGTTTCTTTTCCCATGTAATTTGCGTAGAAAATATGTATTTGGGGATTCAATACCTACAGGCAAGTAGTAAATCTGAATATCCAGGAGAAACTCAGTTTTCTTTATGTTACTGCTTTTAGCTATGAGAAGCATAAACATCACAATTTTTACAAGAAGACAGAATACTTTTGTTCTGCAAGATCGAAAGTTCAATATTCTGAAGTCACAAAGTTTTCAAGAACTTTTAGCTATTGTCTCCAAAGGCAAAGTGTCATGGAACATAAACTCATCACTGATTAAAATCTTAATCCCTGTTTTACACTGAGATGTAAAAAAAAGAGACATTTAGAAGTACAAGTCTTGTTTCAGCCAAAGGAATCTCCTGCATCATAGAAGAATGTTTGTTTTTTGGTTTTTTTTTTCCTAAATTGACCTAAGGTTTCTGTATTCACACTTTCAAGGCAAGCAAAAGCTTGAAGGGTTAGAATTTTGAAGTTTTTTGATTGTCATATTTGCAAATAAGAAGTAATGCCACGTATAATTCAAATACATTTAGAAAGTGTAATAGCATTGGAGTTTTTGGGAAAGAAGAAGAGGAAGGCAAACATACCTCTTAAAAATTTCTTAGTTTAGTTTTATGAAAGAGATGTTGTCATCAAAAAGAATATTCAGATCAAAATTAGTAAATATAAAATTGACTGAACTTCTGCAATCATAAAAGTTTCTGTATTTATAATGATGATGGATTAAAATTGGATTTATTACATTAAAAAGATGTAAAAATAGTAAAGGAACGTGAGACATACGTCCAAGACATACTGTGACAAATAAGCTTCTAAAAAGACTGCAGTTGCTAGGAGAAATCCAGAATAATCTACTCCATGTAATGAAAACAAGCAGTTCTGTGAATGAAGAATAGCTTTCTCAAAAAAAGTTACCAAGGAAGATTGAGCACAGTCCACAGCTGAAGCTCCAGTTTAGTTTTATCAGAGATAGCAGGCAGTAAAACATGAGACATACCTTTGTAAACTACAGGATCATAGGTTCATGTGAGACTTGAAAATTAATCTTACCCAAAGCCCAGCTTAAAGCAGGTTCAGTTAGGTAAGTTACTAGGAGTCTTGTCTAGTAAAGCCTTGAAAGGTCCTTTTTAGGTCCCTTTGTGCAAAACTGCTTTACAACTGGCTGGCCCCAGCATGTACTGATGAATGGCATTATTCCTCCTCTGGTGCTGTCACTGAATGTCATGAAGTTTGTTTTAGCATATTTCTCCAGCATGTCCAGGTCCCTTTGGGCAGCAGCCCTGCCCTCCAGTGTAATAAACGCTTTTCCCCAAGTTGCTGTTCCATTGTCTTTTCTCCTTCCCATTGTTAAATACGGTAATGGCTACTGTTCAAGAAGACAGTGTAAACTATAAAAGTAAATCAAAATCATCAACAGGCTAGAATAGATTAATAAATACAATAATTTCAATAGTATGCTTATTGATTTTCATTAAATACTGTTACACTCCTTTTTTGAGAGATTCAGACAGAGAACTCTATTTTTTGAGTAAGATACAGCATTGGAGGTTGGCTGTAGGCTAATTGAAAGTATCTATCAACATCTGATAGCAAACAACTAGTGCTGTGATAGTTGTTGTCAGCTACCACATAGTTGACAACAACTATCACAGCACTAGTTGCTTGCTAGCACTATGGGCTAGAATGAAAAAATTAATTCAAAACAATAAATAGGTTTAGGAACTCTTGTGCAAGGAATTATATAAATTTATAAATAAATCTTCAGTTTTCTAGGAGGTGACTATAAAAGGCAGTTATATTTTAGTGATGACATCTATTCCGTTTTCAATTGCAGCTTCTGTAGACTGATAATTTCTTCAATCCATGCAACCAGCAGAGGGTTTCTGCCACACTTCAGGTTTAATCTCTGAATTCAATTTAAATTTTGCCTTTCTTTTTCTACAAGCTTAACAAGGGCACCTCTGCAGTCATGCTACCTGGCTTAAGCCCAGCAAACCATAACAATATGCTAATTTTATATGTCCCTTTTCAAATCTGCTGATTCACCATCCTGCCACTCAGTCTTGCACTATTGCAATGACTGCCACAGATTGCCTTCAAGGAACCGAAAAGGAATCTGGTAGAGTTTCAAAAGATCTCTAATGACAGAAGTTATTTTTCTTTTCTTACTGTGTTGGTGGTTGGACTGTGATGTAAACTCTGCAGACTGTTAGGTAAGCATTTGTATTGGGGTATTTTAGATGGGAAAATTAGTATGTTGTTGGTATGTGCACACCTTCTATTGGATGTGAATTATTCTATTCAGTTCTGGTAGATTTCATCATCCCTGCTGTATTATAAGGGTAGCGTTACTGGAGAAATCTTCTTTAAGCTGCTTTTCTGGCCTAATTGCAGATGGAGATTGAGGTTTACGTAATGACATTATGTCTCTTTGCCGCTTTTATTTCCATGTGGCAGCTTCTTGTCCACCAGAAAACTTTGTACTTTTTAGAAAATTTCACACAAAAAGCATACAGACAGTTAGGAAAATTATCTTTCAAAAAATATTTCACTTACTAATTATTAATCTAACAGGTTATAAAAACACTGAAAGGAGACCAGAGTTGTAAAGAAAAATTTCTCTGGGCATAAATGTGTAATACTTCTTTGTACCCATTATGTTTGTTTTCACTTACTGTGGATGGCAGCTAAAATTTTTGTGCAAAGGGTAAAACATTAAGATTTATTATATTTTTATTTAGTAAAAATCACGGGTTGAAAATGTTGATGCAATGCTACAAAAAGGATTGGGTTTTGGGAAAAAATGTGACATATTTTTCTATTCAAAAGTACTTACTTGACCATGCATTTAATTGTAAGTTGGTGAAATATATATATTTTGGTTATGGAGAATATAAACTTGTAAAAATGCTGGTATGAAGTAAATTCTGTATTATGTTATGTATAGCAGTAGCTGTGAAAACTAAAATCCTACATTAGGTAATTTGGATGTTGAATAGGGAATGAAGGCATCCCAAGTAAAATACAATTTAATTTTGAATTCTTTCAGAGATCTAAAAAATTCCTATGTCTATTTGTCACTTTACAAAATACATAAATAGCCTTCCATTGACTCAGACATCTATCAAGCAGAAAATGGTTCTCTAATTTAGTTTGACTAGAAAATGTTCAAGCTATTATGTTTTTTTTTCCCCCCTCAGAACATTATCAACTATATGTTCCTGAGTCGGCTCAAGTTGGATCAGCAGTTGGCAAAATCAAAGCAAACGATGCAGACACTGGTTCAAATGCAGACATGAAGTATACGATTATAAATGGCAATGGCTCTGGGGTATTCTCCATAACTACTGACAAAGAAACAAGGGAAGGAATTCTCTCTCTGAAGAAGGTAAGCCGTAGAAAATTTAAAATTTGGATGAAAATTCTACTTTTGTCCCCAACCTGCCTTAATCTTGGCATAAAAAGTTAATCTGTGGCAATGAATGTGTAAGTCAGATTTCACAGATTGTTATTCTTTGGTTTACTTTCCAGTTGGTATCTAAATGATCCAGTATTGTGCTAAAGACTTAAAATGTTACTGGTCAAGCTATCACAGAGTTATTATTTATATGTAGTTCCTCTATTTGTCCCAGTCAGTTGAGAGTTCTTATGTGAATTTGTTGTTATTGAGTCTTGTTATTTATATATTAATTATAATATTACATATTATATATTTTAATATTATGTGTTATATATTAATACTTATTTCATATATATCCATAGACCCTAAAAATTAAACGTGAGTATATATTCAAAATTGCTCATATGTATTCTGATCTTGATTAATGGTTGGATAAATTTAGTCCTGTGAAAATGTGAAAGAAGAAAATAAATAAAAACTGTCATAAACCATGATTTTTTTTTTTTTTTTTTTTTTTTTTTGCTTCTGGATAGATGTATATGTATTTAATATATGAAAAATAGTTTCTAACTCAAGGAAATATAATTTTTATAATTCATAAATATTTAAAATATCTCTTTCAATATCTTAAAAAGCTTTAACTCAGTGTCTTTTGTAAAGGTTATGTAATACCCAACTTTTTCAACCACATAAAAAAAACCCTGTCTTTTTTATACTACTGAATTTATTTCCTAATGGCCTTGTTATAGCTAAATCCATAGTCTGTTATTTCTTCTTTGAAATGAGCATTGTACCCTCATCATGGCTGCTGTTCATTAACTATAACATTTATGCATATTCAAAACATGAAGCAGAAAGGAAGAATTTGCAACAAAATGAAAGACATAGAAAAATTTGTTAAATCACATTTCTTACTGGTTTTAGCTTCAAAAATTTTTTCACTATTATTTAGAATATGACAATAGCATATATTAGCTGTTCTTTTACATACACATGACAATAATTTTAATCATTTTTACATCAAGACAAGAAGAGGTAAGTTTTGCCTAAGTAATGTCATATGCCAGTTGAGCAGAAATTTGGCACTTAAAAGTTACATAAACTTGTGTATAACACCTCCATTATTTCCTTGGATACCTTATCCCTTTGTACAGTATTAAAAAATTGCTCTTGTTTTTTTGCCTTTTTTTTTTTTTTTTGACTCAGAACTTTTATGCAGTTGAATAAGTATATTATATGCTGTGTGCTGTAATTTTTTAAAATTTAAATTAGGTTTCAAGCTGAATTATTTAAAAGCCACCCAAAATAAATAACCTGGACTAAGAACAGATGTTTTTTGGTTTTGTATATCAGCTACCACTGCCTTCTATAACAGTAAAATAGAATGACATATCTTCTAGTATTTCTTCAGAAGAATTTACAGTAGACACATCAGAAAAGCCAAAAGTAAATATCTATTATTTTGTCTAATGACCTGAAATCCTCATCAAAATATGAAAACTTCCCTTATGTGAGATTCTGATGGAAAAATAAAATTTTTCAGTGCCTCCATTTGTATGCAAAGGCTAGCAGCATGAGAATTTTTTTTAGTCTCATTCTGCGCTGATCCAAAACACCCAGTACTTTCATTATCTAACATATTGACAAACCTCTAGAGCCATTCTTCAGTCTCAAAGATCCTTGCACAAAGGATTGATTGTAAACTGTCATGAAGTATTTCTACTTTACCTCATGCATTTCCTCGTTTGAGTAAGAAACTGGAGGAAACCAAAATAAATTAGCCCAGTAAAAGCTATTATTCTCTGTATCCTTCAAAAAAAGAATTGTCACCATGCTCCCCCTCTGTCATGATTTTTAGAAAAATGTGTTAGAACTTTCCTGACCTCAAGTAGGCAAGTATCATTCAGGCATCCCAGAAAAAGTGTCTAACAGCCCATGTTAGAAATGTTCAGGAAACAGGTAGTTATTTCCCATAAAATTCTGTAACTCTTTTTAGGGGCTACAGTTACCCTAATATGAAATTCCTTTTCGGAGTCTCACTTTAGACACTCAAACTGCAGTATAGTGCACAGCAGCATTTTCCGGTTAGTCCTGTAACTGGTCACTTGAGCTACATTTGGCATTTTCAGTTTGGCATAAAAATCATAATAGCCAATGAATACATACTGCAGTTATTTTTGCTAATTGTAATGGAAAGATATTATTAATTGGGAAAATAGAAAACATGAACAAAATTTCTGTTTAATTAATCTAAAATATAAATGTTTTGCTTTCTTTATGGGAAAGACAATAATCTTCAGTGTTATGATAATTTTAAGTAAATACATAAATAATTTGCATATTTAGAGACACAAGACCAGTCTGTCTCTCACCTTATATCAACAGCTAATAATTGAGATGTTACAGGAAGAACAAAAAGCAAATTAAAGCAAAAAACTACTCTGACTATATTAAAAATGTCAGCTTTTTCTAATTATATGAATGGATTATTCCCTTAAAAAATGTTATTGTCTGATCAAAGAACTAGATAAAAGAGTTTGTGTTACTAAAAGACTTTGTGTCATTCCTCATGTGTTTTCTGAGAGAAATTATCTTCCTGTAGAAGTTAATTCAGTCATTGTCAATATAAACTGAGTTTTCCAAAAAGACATCAAAGTTGCAGTCCTATTTTAAACCTGTTTATTCTTAGAATATACATGCTGCAGAGAAATCAAAAACACTAGACAATATTTCGCTGCTCATAACAAAAAAAAACCCCATAAATTAATACACATCAACGAATTTATTAAACATATATTTCATTATGAATTGACTTGAGTAGTCTACTCAGCTGCTTTTTCTAGCATAGTAATACCAGGCTATGGTAAATTTCCATGCCTTTAAAACTTTTTATTTTACATCCAGGACAGGGAAACAGAGAATATGAGGGTCACAAAAGCCTTATACTGTTAGAGTTCAGAGAATGAATTAATTGTCGTTAAGTACACAGAGGAGAAGTCAAATAAATCTATAAAGTCTATAAACACCCTGACCATTTTTTCTTGTACACCATCAGTCAAATTTATTGTAGATTTCATCTACAAAATTCACACTGACAGTGACAAGCCATATATTGTGTTCCTCATCTGTCTTGCCTAATACTTTGCCACTCCTTGGGGTGACAGGAAATAATATTTTAAACTTGGATGAAGAGTTTTTGTAAATAGACTGTAATGCCCACACAGAATGATGCTGGTATCAGTGGAATTCTGCCATGCCATAGTGAAAATAAAAACTCTGGTTCTAAAAAAAAAAAAAAATTCCACCCATATGCAACTTCTTTTAATGATTTGACTGTTTTGAAACTGTTGGAAATAGACTATATCTGCTCTCTTACAGTGACTGAGTGTTTTCCTACAAGAAGTTGCTTTTATTCAGTTGAGGATAAAAGAGATGCCCAAAAGAATTTTAATGTTCCCGTCACTGTCTATGAATCTTTCTTATTTAAGATGTGAAGCTATTTAATTCAGGATACATCAATCTCTACCTTATTCAGGATTTAGGATTTACTGATTAAAACCTAAAGGTGACAATATCCACACACTACATTACCATGAAAGTAGAATCTGAGGTTCATTCTAAACCCAGGGTTATTTCCAAAACTAGTATATTTTACATAATTCTGTTGTAGAGAAAAATTAAAACCATCCTGCTTCATTTATATCCTTCTACATACAAGGTATGGCAGTGGCTGCCAGAATATCAGAGAATATCCTCCCTTTCTAACAACATGAAGAAATGTTTAACAGAAAAGTTGTTAAGTTGCTAGCAGGCTAAACTTAGAAAATAATGTCTCTGAGAATTGTTTTTTTTTTTCTGCCAACAGCCACTCAACTATGAAAAAAAGAAATCATATACACTTAATATAGAAGGAGCAAATACTCACCTGGATTTTCGCTTTTCGCACTTGGGACCATTCAAAGATGTAACGATGTTGAAGGTCATTGTTGGCGATGTGGATGAACCTCCGCTCTTCACTATGCCTTTCTATGTCATGGAAGTTTATGAAAACGCAAAGATTGGGACTCCTGTTGGCACAGTAACTGCACACGATCCTGATGCTGCAAACAGTTTAGTGAGGTATAGTAAATCCAAATTATAGGGATTGATTATTCAACCATGAAATTGAATTTCACAAGCTTAATGGTTAATGAGATCTGGAATATATGAAGACTGTTTATTCTAGTACATAAAGGTAAACATATGTCGGAACAGTGTCATGATCAGTCTGTATAAATTAGATTTAGTAACAAAACTTTCAGCCTTTATTTGGTTTGCACTATAATTCCCATCACTGGTCTGAGCAAAAGCCTAATTTTCCAGTGGTGTCCTACTGTACATATGTTAAATGTCACAGCACTGGTTTTCCCCTGTCTGTCAAAATTGCACTGGCCCTCTGCATGCTTGCTCCACTGTAGTTGTCCTAGGTGCTTGTTAAAGACAGCAACTGGTTTAGATACATCTTCCTCTTAGAGACAAGCAGGATCATTTTTGCAAAACTTTGGTTGAGGATGAACCCAATATTTTGTAACATGCTTCAGCTCAATAGAGCATCAAAAGAATCAAATATATGCAATAATGAATTTTGTGGACAATATATGAAATGCATGTGTCAAAGGTGGCAGTAGATCTAAAAAGTTTCCAAAAAATATCCAGAAAAAACAGTTTTGATGCTTTTCCTTTCCATGACATAATGATATAGCTTTTGTAGAAATCATATTATTATATCTTTGAAAAGCAGTTTTTCTTCAGCTAGTTAGGGATATTCAACTCCTGACTGAGTTGACATCTGCTGGGTATGTGTAATAGTCTTGGTAAGATGAAACAATCTTTTCAGAGCAATGAAGACATCAGATTTTTATGGTTCTTTTGTGATAGTAGACTAAGATTCAAAGTGTTTTGTGTCAGAGAATCAATATATGCAATTTCTTAGTGGCAAGTTATTGCCTTTGAAAAATTTCCACTGTGGTTTTTGTGCCTAAATTGTAACATACATAATAAAATTTTGCTAAAAATAGCTGCCAAATGCCTGTAGCTCTAATACCATGATTCTGAAGCTATTCACACAGTCAGACCAATCACCATCATGGAAATTTGGAGAAGGGCAAGTGCATATTCGACTGGTCCATAATTAAACTGTCTGTTGCCTGTAACAGTTTTGTCTAGAAAGAGATAAATCTGGCAAAAGGGAAGCAGTAACAGTTTGTACAAAGCCTGGGAAGGCCAGAAGTAGATTTTTGGGATGAAACAGGTGGTAAGTAATCTGGAGATAGTGGGATCAGAAGGAAAAAATTTCAAAATATTGATCTTTAAGTATTTGCTTTTTCTTTTCCAAACCTGAATTTGTAAACAGTGATTGAGGACAGGGTATTAAGTATCCATATTATTCAGATAATTGAGGGAAAAAAAAATGTTCATACTTGTGTCTATCGTGTTTTTCCCTCAACTGAGATACATTTTTGAGTTGTTCTTTCCATATCTCTGTGTCTCAATGGAGAAAAATATATAGTGTTAACATAACATACCAAACCATGAAGATCTGAAGGGAGCCAGATCTCACTCAGTTACATGTTGGTGGGGTTTGGAAAGGGCAGTGGCAGCTCAGATATCCTTGGCATTATATTGTGACCAGGTCCACCCTCTAGCCAGGTTTTATCCATCTTGGTGGAACTGACAGTGAATGTCATTTGTGAGAGTGTCAGTTTTTTATGAAGGTGCTGATTCACTAAGACCTGAACTAATATCTTGCTATGTGGGACTCTAAACAGACATCAGGCTGGGTTGTTGTGCCCTCAAGTTTACCTTGAGTTTCCTGGTGCAGGAGCAGAAATGCTGGTCTGAGAATGGACAGCTCCAATCCCCCTCCCTTACCTCAACTTCACACAGAAACACTAACTACTACAGAAGGGCTTTGTATTGTTTCAAGATCTGTCTACAGCATGGGAAACTATAGGTTGGACGAGGTGTGACCTGAGAAGTGGGACAGACTACACAGGCTGAGCTGCTGCTGCACTTGGAGGCAGGGTCCTGCCCCATGCTCCACTCGAAGTCAACAAGCAAAGGAGCTGCTCAGAGGTGGCTGTATTTCTCAGAAGTGTTCATGCAGTGCACTTACAGTCTTTTGTGCTGGAAGAAATGTCTCCCCTGTTTGTCTGAAACCCTGGTGAGTCTGAAAGACAGTCAGAAGTAACGAAGTCACATCCCTTGTTTCCCCACGATTCCTAGCTAATTGAAAATTAAAATAGTGATTATAAAAATGTAATTAGGAAGATTCAGTGTAACGTTTTTAGAAAACAGAGGCCACAATATCCAGGGAAGATAAGTACTTGCTGATCTCTGTGTAGCAGGAGAGTAACAGAACAGCACTTCTTATCCAGATGGCTCAGATACATCTCCCAATACTGTAAGGCTACAGGACAAGATTCAGAGCCAAGATTTGCTTATCAGTGTTCCCTAATCCACTTGTGCATCCTTTCCACTTTATGAGGACACTTGCTGCTGTGTATGAGATTGATGAAGCATTTAGGCACACACAGTTGAAACCATATCACTTTGCTATTCAGTTACTAGATGAGATACAGTGCTGTGATTTGTTCACTATCCAATTAAGTAACAGTTTAATTTGATGGCAGGAACAACTCTTGTATACAGAAAAATGGTTGGAAGTGTAGTTGAGGTAATTAGCAGTGTTGAAATCTTTTTAAGTTATCTGCTATCAGTAGAGGGGGACAATGCGGGTTTTGTCCTTATTTCCTCACTGCAATTTCATCACAGTGATTTCATCTTGTTCCTGAGCTGAGCAGTCTTCAGAAGGCACTGACTTTTTGCCAGTGCTTGTACTAGTGTTTGAGTCTTTAGACCCCAGCAGAACAACCTCTGTAATAACAAATGTAGCTAATAGCTGTGGGGTCTTTTCATTCAGTACTTATCTGATTGGCAATTTGGAGTGTTTGAAAGGATTTTTCTTTTCAAGTTCAGGGAAACTTTTTGAAATGCTATATTTTAGAATAAGATTATTATTCTACTGAAATATAGACAGCAAGATATAATAGAAAGCATAAGAAATAAATATAATAAAACTTCATCATGTATTAGTTTTAAATATAAAGGGGGTTTGAATAGTTTGAAAATCACTTAAAATTTTATCTAAAAAATTATTTTTGAAATCAACAGAAAACATCCTTATTTGTCATTCATTCACAGGTATTACTGCCCTGTTGGAACATATATGAGAAACTAATCCCCTTTCATTGTTTTGTATCAAGTATTTTGCTTCCATAGTGATATCTTTTGTTGCTTGAAAAGGTCAGCATTAAGTCATGTCTTATAAAAATATCTAATGTGCAAGTGGATTTTGAAAAGTATCTTCCCACACAATACAGAAGAAAGCATGACTATTGCATGCTCTAATTACATTTTTTCTTAGTCCATTATTCATTTTAAATATTTCTATATCCACTTAGAAATTATCTTTTTTTTTCCTTTCTGAAACCATACACAGAAGACCTGCATGGAGATTAGGGGTGTAAACAGCTTTTAATTGGCTGTTATTGCTGCCTCAGGGCAGGGCAGCACCTCTTGAAACCCTGACATCCTCCTGTACGGGGTCATCCTTGGGTGGTGAGTCTGTCCAGGCACAGCTCATACTCCACATGATCCTTGGAGCTTTCCAACTGCCTCTGCTCTGTTGCCAGTGGAATGTTTTTCAGAAACATAATGCTGCAGCTGTTCCCCAAGCCACCTCCAAGGCAGCGATTCAGAAAAGAGCTAAGATGTAGTTTTAAGACCATGACATTTTCTGCGGCTCTGATGTAATAGTGAAATTAGTTTGATGACATAGACCAGTCCCCTCAGAATAACTTCCCCATTTGATAATGAAAACCTTTGTTAACCTAATACACTTAAGAGTAGTGTTTGAGAAATAGGACATCCCATTATAGAAATAAAACAGCATCAGCTCACTACTTTGAGTGCTATTTTGTCATGCAGTGATATGGGAGGTAAATCAGTATTTTGACCATTAATGATAGGACCTCTGCCCCCTCTAGTAATTTTTTTATACCCACTTATTATGTTTACCTTACATTGCTTACATTTCTGGGAAGAATTTTTCTTTTCCCGGTATCTAACAGAAAACTTCTGGTGAATGGGGTACAGGTCCTGATCAGGACTCTAGCTGTGACAGTACTGTCAAATGATTAAAAAGATAAGCATCTTCTCTTTTCAGAAGGTCTACAATTGCTTGGCTAAAATCAACTTTGTATTTTTTTTTTTTTTTTGCTCCTTGTTAGATTTATTTGTTATATTAATATTTTGGAATTCAAATAAATTTTCTGTTGGACACCAATCAGGCTCTAATATGTCTTGCTATAATGCATTTTATTCACAAGAATTAATCAGCTATAAGAAACAGAAGTCAGAAAAAAACCCTGTTGCTTTGGTTTTGGTTTGGGTTTTATTTATTTTTTCTTTTTTAAATTTTCTGCTAAAAATTAATTTTTATTTTTAAAAATTTATTTTGTCTTAAAAATGTACTTTTAATTTTGTGCTAAGTTGGTGAAGAACAAGAGTACAATCTCAGCCATGACCCTGCTTCCCACTTTTCTAGAGGTCTTATGTTGTGGTCTTAAAATGGATGATACATCATAATGGTTATAATACATGTGTATACTACTGAGTACAAAAATTACAAAAAGTAGAAAAAAGTAGAGGCTGTAATAAATTCATAGTTCCCTTCTCCTATTTTGATTTAAATTAACAAAGTTCTCTTCCCTTCTTTCAGAAAGAATAATAAAAAAACATTAATTAGAGGTGCATATGATTATAACAATTAATGTGGTGTAGGAATTTTATTTTCAATTCCTATATTAGGTAGAGAAATTTGTTTTAACTTTTTCTGCATTGATTGTAAAAGATAGTCATCTTTTAGATTCATCTGAAAGTGAATACTTTTTGTCATCAGCCTTTAGAAAGCAATCTTAATTTTCAGTAAACAGTATTTTAAGAGGTATTCTTATATGTAGATGAAAGAGCATAACCCATAAGTTTTATGCTTTCCTATAATTATTTCTCAAAGTCTT